TAATGACATAAACCCAACTTGGGGTACACTTTGTCAATTTTTTTTCTCTTCTTTATACCCTCCTCGCTCGAAAAGTGGGAGGTGCATTGTGATGGGGGTGTCCATCCGTCCTTTTTAAATACTAGTAGTAACAAAAGAACGTTGGATTAAAACAATGTTTATTCTAACAATACTCTCAGCAATCTTTTTTCCCTTACAGAAAAAATATGCTTAAAGCAAATATGGTTTGAATTCCTGTCAATAACGAATTTATATAAACTATGATTGTCACACAGAAAGTGAAGGTGTTCCTGGGGATCCACGTTTATTGTATTTCATATAATTGATAGCATACTAAATAAATCAAGAGGCCCAAAGGCCTTAAAGGTCACCTGAGTATCAAGAGTTTTTCAGGCTATGACCCACCTGGAACTGGCTTAGACTTATATCAAATACATTTTACAGTTTGATAGAACTCTTTAATCATCAAATTTATGCAGCTTGCCTCCTATCAATTCATGATTGAGTAAAAGTAATAAGGAACACTGTATAATAAATTTCAATATATGACCCCCCCCCCCTCCCACCTCATGCAAACAATTTTTAAAAATTTTCTCCTATTCCTACATAAAACTTTGATCCCCAATCGTTGCCCCACCCTACTCCATGATTGGAAATAACTTGAATCCGCACTACGTGAGGATGCTGGCATACCATGGCCCTGCTTTCTCAAAAAGAATTTTGAAGATTGTTCCTATATACAGTATATTCCCTTGTATGTATTTTATCCCTTATTGTGACCCAAACGCATCCTTAGGGCCATGATTTGAACAAACATGAATCTACACTACCTCAAGATGCTTCCATATAAATATGACTAATCGTGGCTTTGCTGTTCTTATGAAGATTTTTAAGGACTTTTCGTATATATTCCTACGTAAAACTGTGATCGCCCACTATGGCCCCATCCTACCCCCAGTGGTCATGATTTGAACATACTTGAATCTGCACTGGAAAAAACAGATAGCAATAGGTCACCCGAATGTCTCGGGTGACCTAATAATGTAAACTGATATAGAGTCATGATCCCATAAGTAAATTACTTATAAGGTTTGGTACTGGCTGTCTACAAAAATGTATCAGGTTGAACCCTCTCATAGACGGCGAGGAGGATCATAGTGAGAGACATAAAGACAAGAGAGGCCCATAGCAATGTTTATCAGGGAGCCACCAAAAAAAAAAAAAACAAAAAAAACAAGCCAGGAATATAAAAACATAATCTACAAAAACTCGAGAGGGGTAAAATTCTTCCTCTAAATTGTTGGAATTTTTTTCAATGCAATATCGGGGAACACTTTCCACTCTTCTGTTACAAAGTGTGTAGGGGGGTTGGGGGGAGGGGCTTGAATGATTTTCAATAGAGTCTACAACAAAACACTATTCTTAAAACAGTGGGACACCCCCCCCCCCTCCAGACCCTCGTGGTACAACAGGTCTGCAAGAAGTGATGATCAAGATGATCGAATATATTTTAATTTAAAAAATGAATTGTCCCAACACTTCAACTAGATCCTGTCGATCATCTGTATCGTGTTTCATCTAATTTCACATGTACAATCTCTTTTAAAATTATCAATCTAACCTTTTACCGTTAAGTAATCTTCATAAATCTTTGAACCCCTTTATTTGCTTTGTTTCTGTTTAGTTAAGCGAACCTCGACGCTCCCATTACTTGTGATGCCGTCACAACAAATCTGACGTCATTTCTTAAAAAGACCGCAACATAAAGAGTAAATCTAAAGGATTACTAATATTGAAATTCAAACACAACGCGTCGGCCATATTGCCAGATTTTAATTCTCACCTGCCGGACATAGAAATATAGCCGACAGTCACGTATCACATTTAAAGCAATGAATGTGCTACATTTCAATCCCAGGGAAAATAAATAATATCTGATGGTCTGACATCATAACCTCCTTGCAGCAAGTCTATATTAAACTGACGGCTACTAAAATGAGTATTATAAGTTTATAAACATCTGATCACGATAGGGTAAGTGGGTCGATTTTACAAAATAACTACTACAACCAAAATCTTTAGCTCTTTTTCACATCTTGTCTACAGTGCTAGATATTTTTTATGGAAATTGCTCTTTTAAAATCTTTTTAAATTATTATATATATATATATATATATATATATATATATATATATATATATATATATATATATATATATATATATATATATATATATATATATATATATATATAGCTTTTTCAGATTAATGTAAAAAAAACAAATAATTTGAAAAACGTATTTTGGTCTTAGCAGTAAGTTCTTTTGTAAAACAGGGTCTAGATTCTTTCATTTGTGAAAGTCTTATTGAATTTTATTTAGTGATATAGGAGGAATTGTAGACAAGAAATGGGTACCCCCCTATCACTATACATGTATACCCCCTGCTTTTCAAGTGGGGGTAAAATAATGCATTTTCAACATCTGATCAAGCATCCTGGAGCTGGGGGTTGGGGGATAAATTCTTGTGATCATTCCTTGTTTTCCTTTTACAGACACTTTGTCTGCTTAGTGTCTAAAGAGTAAACAAGACTGAAGATACAATGATGTTACTACATGTAGTTTTTCCCCCGTTCTTCATGCCCTACTGTGATGAAGATTATGAAAGTCCTGATTTTTTTTTTGTTCCCCTTTAGTTATAAATTTATATTTATTCTATATTCTATGTATCAAAATTAGTTAAAATTAGTTCAGTAGTGTTTTAGAGATTCAACTAAAATGATTCAGTTGACCTAAAAAGCAGCTAAAACATAGGTAATCAAAGATTACGAAGCTCACCTCGACGAATGTTATCTACATGTAAGGCAAATTTCACATCATATTTTTTTTCTAGTTAGGGTACATCCCAAGATCAATATCCATGCAAGTTTGATTTAATTATAGATCTGCTCAAAAAACTTTTGACCTGTTTAGTAATCAAGAAAATTTTGGTCAGTTCCAACATCCAAAGCAAGTCTAGAAGTTTTCATCCTTAGATGCACCATCTATGCAAGTTTAATCATAACAGGCCATAATATTATAGAGCTACTCCAAAAAATTACCCTGGTCACTCATCTGGAAAATGTACGTCAGATTCAGAATCCAAGGCAAGTCTGGAAGTATCCATCCCTAGATACATCATCCATGCTAATTTGGTTAAAATATGGCTAAAATTCACTCATGTGGAAAATCTAGGTCAGATCCAGCATTCGAAGCAGGTTGGTTAGTGTACATCCCTAGATGCATCATCCATGAAAGTTTGGTCCAGGTAGGGCTTATAGTTACTTGGGAACGAGACTACTCCTAAATCTAAACCTGGTCTCACATGTGGAAAATCTAGGTCAGATCCAGCATCCGAAGCAAGTGTGGTAGTGTCCATCCCTGGATGCATCATCCATGCAAGTTTGGTCCAGGTAGGGCTTATAGTTACTTTGGAATGGACCTGCTCCTAAAACTTTAACCTGGTCACTCATCCGGAAAATCTAGGTCAGATCCAGCATCCGAAGCAAGTGTGGTAGTGTCCATCCCTAGATGCATCATCCATGCAAGTTTAGTCCAGGTAGGGCTTATAGTTACTTGGGAATGGACCTGCTCCTAAAACTTTAACCTGGTCACTCATCTGGAAAATCTAGGTCAGATCCAGCATCCGAAGCAAGTGTGGTAGTGTCCATACCTAGATGCATCATCCATGCAAGTTTGGTCGAGGTAGGGCTTATAGTTACTTGGGAATGGACCTGCTCCTAAAACTTTAACCTGGTCACTCATCCGGAAAATCTAGGTCAGATCCAGCATCCGAAGCAAGTGTGGTAGTGTCCATCCCTAGATGCATCATCCATGCAAGTTTGGTCCAGGTAGGGCTTATAGTTACTTGGGAATGGACCTGCTCCTAAAACTTTAACCTGGTCACTCATCTGGAAAATCTACATCAGATCCAGCATCCGAAGCAAGTGTGGTAGTGTCCATCCCTAGATGCATCATCCATGCAAGTTTGATCCAGGTAGGGCTTATAGTTACTTGGGAATGGACCTGCTCCTAAAACTTTAACCTGGTCACTCATCTGGAAAATCTAGGTCAGATCCAGCATCCGAAGCAAGTGTGGTAGTGTCCATCCCTAGATGCATCATCCATGCAAGTTTGGTCCAGGTAGGGCTTATAGTTACTTGGGAATGGACCTGCTCCTAAAACTTTAACCTGGTCACTCATCTGGAAAATCTAGGTCAGATCCAGCATCCGAAGCAAGTGTGGTAGTGTCCATACCTAGATGCATCATCCATGCAAGTTTGGTCCAGGTAGGGCTTATAGTTACTTAATTAGGAATGGACCTGCTCCTAAAACTTTAACCAGGTCACTCATCTGGAAAATCTAGGTCAGATCCAGCATCCGAAGCAAGTGTGGTAGTGTCCATCCCTAGATGCATCATCCATGCAAGTTTGGTCCAGGTAGGGCTTATAGTTACTTGGGAATGGGACTTGCTCCTAAAACTTTAACCTCGGACGCCGACGCTAACGCCGACGCCGACGCCGACACCGACGCCGACGCCGGGGGTATAGCATAAGCTCATCTCGACTTCGTCGAGGTGAGCTAAAAAAATCTAATGGAAAATCAAAGTTTTTCGAAATGACAAATTTCATATTTAATCATAATATATAACAACAATTAAAAATAACAACAAAATTATAATAAAAGCTACACTGAATCAAAGGCAAGTCACTGATTGAATGATCAAAACAATAACAAGGTAAAAGTCTTCACATGTAACAGTAGAATCATAACATCGTATGTATGGACATCTAAACACTTCTTAATGTTCAGTTAAAACCTGTTTGACAGTCAATCATGAATTCTGTTGTAGTCATATTGCACATAATTTAGACAATACAGAAAAGGAGGAGGGTTGATTTGATTTCCAGACTGAAGAAATTAATTAAGCAGTATGGCTGGTAACCCCCCCCCCCCCCCAGGATAACTCATAAATGCCAAGTCCTAACCTTTATTCATCTTATATACAACAATGTAAAGAAAGCGTCATTGTGTTTCTTGCCCTTGAAAGATGAACACTGTTTATTTCATGCTTCAGAACCAAGGGCAACGATTTGCTCTAGTAAAACTCTCCTTCACTTTCCTCAGTCTCCTCTTCTTTCACTTCTATTATGATCTCATTGACATCAATGTGTCCTGAAGCTTGGTCATTATTTTCCAAGGATTCTTCATCTGGATTACTTAATTTAAAAGTTACAGGAATTCCAGTTACTTTGGGAACCTATTAAAAAAAATTAATCATACAATGCTTAATTAATCTGTTGATCTATCCTCCTATCATATATATATGTACAGTAAAACACACTTATAGCGAACACACTTAATATAATGAATTTATACTTATTATAGCAATGTGATTTTCATTCACTGTGTTTTAATAAGTATTGTGAACTTAACAGATATAATGAATTACATTTTATAATGAGGCAAAAATTGTCTGTCCCTAGCACTTCGTAATAAGCATGTTTTACTATAATATGCCTAGAGATTACTAAAGTACCTGTCTATGTCCAAGAGTGAAAAGATCTTCCTAGAATAAATATGTAATTCATATTCAATATATGACAGACTTAGTCCTATCCTTAAGTCTAAATTGACCCCTGGGCCTCTGAACTCCTATTGTGGCCCCACCATGACTTCAGTCATTTCTTAGACAATTTTAAATTTACACAAGATGGATGGATGGATGGGAAAGCCGGGCCCAGGTTGACAGCTCATCAAAAGATAGGGGTATAAAAAGTTCTCATCGCTTGATTTGTGAGATTTGTGAACTTGGAAAACTAGCTGTGAAGAAATTTTATGCACTGCTGTATTCAATATCTTAAAATATCTGAAAAAGTTTACCAGCGACTGTTGCTGTGGAGCAAGACTTGGCAGGGTTAGTTGAGGAAACAGAGTGTTCTCCCCTTCTTGTGATGTAACAGGCTGACTAAATATGGTAGCTGTCAGTGTCTGTGGACCTGATGAAGTCACAGGGAGGGACAGGTCAGGTTGTTGTATGATGTCCATGTTCTCACTTTGCCCAAAGGTAAGATTTTTAACAAGTAATACCGGCTTGAGTTCTTCTGCTGTTGCTTCTAATTTTCCTGTGAAATTAGATCACTCAAAATTTACAGTTACAAAATCTATTGAATTGTTCTTCACTGGAGAAACTATATTGTTTCATGTAATAGCACAGTGTTAAAAGTAATGCAAGCATTAATGACATACATAGCAACATCAAGAGACTGAAGTCCCCATTTTTTTCATTCACGTCCAGTTCACTTTATAAATTCAATATTGTCGACATCGCAATGTAGACAGTGTTGACACAATACAGTGTTTATACCATCTACATTGCTAGTATTTCTATGTTGACATTGTCAACATCGTAATGTCGACAATGTTGATACGATATCATGATTACATCGTCTACATTGTTTTCATTCACTATGACTATGTTGACATCGTCGACATCGACATCACAATATAAACAATGTTGATTTGAGTTTACATCGTCCAACGTTGTGATAAAGACGATGTGAACGATGTAAGGATTCAATGTTGACACGAAGTGGACTCAATATCATCCAACATTGCAATGTCTACGATGTGAACGATGTAAACAAGAAAACAGAATGCAACGTTGAAATGATGTGGACTAGATACCGTCCAATATTGCAATGTCGACGATGTGAACGATGTAAACAAGAAAACAGTATGCAACGTTGAAATGATGTGGACTAGATACCGTCCAATATTGCAATGTTGACGATGTGAACGATGTAAACAAGAAAACAGAATGCAACGTTGAAATGATGTGGACTAGATACCGTCCAATATTGCAATGTCGACGATGTGAACGATGTAAACAAGAAAACAGTTTGCAACATAGAAGCAATATCGACTCGATATCATCCAACTTTGCAAAGTCGACGATGTGAATGATGTAATCAAGAACACAATGTTGACTCGATGTCGTCCAACATTGCAATGACAATGAAGTGAAATGTGCAAAAAAGAAAAATGCAATGTTGGCATGATGTCGACTCGATATCGCCTAACACTGCAATATCGACAATGTGAACGATGTAAACAATAAAATAATGCAATGCTGACAAGATGTCCACTCGATATCGTTTAACATTGCAAAAGAGATAAACAAAGGCATTGTCCAACACTGCTATATTGACAAAGTAATCTAAGAATATAAGAGAGCAATGTTAACACAATGTCGACGTGATGTCATGCAAAACTGGGATGCTGAAATAGTTAACGATGGTAGTTGAATGAGGAGCAATGTGTAAATGTGTGTTATGAATTTAAAGGTATATATACAGCGATGTTGACAATATCGATAAAACATCATGCACTGGACATAACTCATTTTTTTCCTTCTTCCAATAAATGAAAGTCTTCTTGTTATAGTATATGTGCCTTACTCCAAAGTGAAGTATAATACCTTGTAACGAAGAATTGATTTGCTCTTTGATTTCCATCTGTGATTCATCAGAAAGGAGGGGAACTTCAGATGTTCCATTAAGCATCATTGGTGTGGGATTAGATATGACAATATCTGGTACTGTGTTGACTGTGGGCAGTTGATGGATAGCAGACTTGGAAGCAGAATTCTGAGAGGAGGTGGCTGGAGAACCTGAACACAATCAAAAAATCATATACTTAGTAATGCTACATAACAGGAAACGAGAAAACATAAGGCCACAGAATCAGACCAACTATGTAACAGAGTCTATAAATATAACTTTAAACATTACTTAAATTATCAGATTGGGATTCTTTAAAACAGATAATTGTGCATCTTTTTTTATTTATTTATCTTGTTTGTTTCAATATATACAAAAGCTTTTGAACAGTATTTGAAACTCGCTGCAAAATAAGCCAGACATGCAGGGCTGACTGCTACTAAAAGTTGCCAGCCCTGCCAAAGATCTACTACCCCGAGAAAATAATCGTCATTTATAAATTTGTTTTTAACGATTATGTGACTTGAACCAGGTCACCATAACTTCAAACCAGAATCTATAGACTGATGAATTCTTCCTCTTGGCTTGTTACACTTTGCTACTGATACTATTAGTTGATATGAAAGAAATTTATCAAATATCTGAATTTTTATTATCATAAATTTTAACACGTCCAGCCTGGCGTCAATACATGCAAATTTATTCGCCCACTGTAAAATTTGTGCGTCTCGGGCGGTCGGAGGCACAGTTATTTCAAACACTGCTTTTGAAACATAAAATTTTCATTCTAATTAAATAGAATGTAACCTTAGTCAGTGATGTCATCTGTATGTCTGTTAGTATAGGGGGTTATAACAGTCTATAGTTATACATGTAACCTTAGTCAGTGATGTCATCTGTATGTCTGTTAGTATAGGGGGTTATAACAGTCTATAGTTATACATGTAACCTTAGTCAGTGATGTTATCTGTATGTCTGTTAGTATAGGGGGTTATAACAGTCTATAGTTATACATGTAACCTTAGTCAGTGATGTCATCTGTATGTCTGTTAGTATAGGGGGTTATAACAGTCTATAGTTATACATGTAACCTTAGTCAGTGATGTCATCTGTATGTCTGTTAGTATCAGGGATGGGGTCAATTACTTTAAAAAGTAATTAATTAAATTACAATTACTTTGACTTTTTCTTCAATTAAATTACAATTAAATTACAGGCTTTCTAAGACATGTAATTAATTAAATTACAATTACTTTGCAAAAGTAATTAATTAAATTACAAATTACATTTTTGATTTTTTGAAAATTTTTATAATCCTTGTCAATGAATATACAGAACATCATTTATTTGTATATAAGCTCAGCCTCTGCACAAACAGTACTAGAAATAATATGCTAGAGGCATTGTGTATCATTCTGGTTTAATTAAATTTTATAACATTTATTTACAAAACAATAAGAATCTCCTTAAAGAACTATCCGAGATCAGTTTGATGCAGTTTCCACCACACAAAACCTACATGTACACAAATTGCATGGCTTATGATATTTGATTAAAAGTGAGTATTTTAGTAGAGTGAAATGAGTCGCAACTGTAACCCCTCAAATTAAATATTTCCTTTGAAGGTAACCTGAACATCCTAAATTGCTATTTATGTTGAACAATTTTACTTCATAAATCAGAATTGTACAGATAGAAAATTCATTCATAGAAATCTGTTTAGATGTTAAAATAATTATCAAATTGAAAGGTTTTTTTTTTTTCCTAAAGCTAGCGGAGCATTTTAAATTGAAATAATTATCTTCATTGGCTTTGTCTTCTAAATCATGGAATGAATATCTCTTTAGAGGAGTTGATTTGTTTTGATTGCAATTTAAAGCTGTGATTTGGAGGGCAATTATCTCTTCCCAACAAGAGAGAACTTAATTAATGACACATGCCTTCTTTTTCTTTATTATTGATCAAACAACAAAGATTGAAATATAATAAATGTGTGTTTCATAGCTGAATAGACCTAAGATAGGTGGTTCAAAATTCATATTTATAAACATAGATCAAAAAATTCAAAATTTACATAATGATTAGAAAGAAACTAGTTTATTATTATCAAGCCAATCATTTAATTATTTTGTAAGCATTAACCTAAGATTTTGTATAAATGAAGGATTGAGGATATGTTTAACAATAGAATAAAAACCAGTAAAATGGGGAGGTAGTGGTGACGATATATCATGAATATATCATGAATGTGTATTATATAAAGTAATTGAATGTAATTGAAAAAGTAATTGAAATTACATGGTATTTTTTCAGTGTAATTAATTAAATTACAATTACAAGTAATTGAAAAAATGTTCAATTACAAATTACTTCAAAAAATGTAATTAATTACAGTCAATTACAATTACTTTTTTCAATTACCCCATCCCTGGTTAATATAGGGGGTTATAACAGTCTATAGTTATAACATCAAAGGTGAAGAAGGGACATGGTGAGGCATATGTTGTGAAACAAGTCTTTTTGCATTTAACACAAAAAGTAAATGTTGTATACATTGAAACTCTGATGATTTGATAATGTTGATGAAAGTGACAATTATAATAACCATGTTTGTAAATACAACCTATATTTGAATTGCTGGGTCGTATAAGACCGACATGTTTCTCACCAATTGTTAACGAGGCTGAGTCTAATTCAAGAGCGCATGACTTTGTGCAGCTTTTTAATTTCATGCAGTCATATATGCGACAGTACACCTTTCCCAAATATTTTGATTTTAATACAAAACTAGAACTGTCCAAAAGGGACAAATACCCCCCGCTGGGTTTTTCAGAGAAGGTACCAAATCATTTATGTTTTCTAGATGTGAGAGGTGTTCACAATTTGTTTAAACATTTAGAGTGAAAATTTAATTACTCATTATATATTTTTTTCAATGAATGAAACTAAGGTGCAGCCTAATAAAACATCAATACTAGTAATTACAGTGTTTTTTTATTACATTGAAAAAATAGTTTGCATTTGTCATCTTTGTGAGACATGACACTCTGCAGATTGATTGTTGAAAAAAAAATATCATAATTAATTATACAAAATCAAATTGATCTTAATACCTTTATATCAAACTCATTTTAAAAATAAAAGTATTTTATATAAAAATAATGTATTTTGACAGACATAAATTACAATTAAGAGACTTAGACAACAGAGATCTTTATTTCTTTCTGCCCATTTCCCAGGAGATATAGATAAGACCTGCTTGATCAGAGATGCCCTAACAGCTTCCCACACTGAACTCATTAATTAATCTTTAACTGGATGCATGTCCACTCATTACTCCCAAGGGACAAATGGATTTACACTATCTGCTGTGTAATGTAAAAACTGTTTTTAATACTTTGTGATTTTTTTTTTTAGTTCTAATGAGTAGTTTTAAGCTGTAGTTCACATTTTTGTACAGATGTTCTAGATCCTATGTCTCAAACCTTAGACATGAACCCGAAATGACTAAGTCAATAAAAATGAAAAAAGAAAACACCTGTAAAATGCAGAAAAATTATCAAATAATGTTGAAAATACCAGGTGCACATCTTCATATGGTAAATAATAAGTGTACAAATTTTCATACAAATCTATGCAATAGTCTCTGGGAACAGATCCAGACAAAACCACATAATAAAAATTAAAAAAACACCTGTAAAATGCAAAAAAATTATCCAATCATCATGAAAATACCAGGTGCACACCTTCATATGGCAAAGAATAAGTGTACAAATTTTCAGACAAATCCTTGCAACAGTTTCCAAGAAATGGTCCGGACAAAATCTCGTCTACAGACAGACGGACAGACAGACGGACAAGCTGATTCCAATATACCCCCCCTAAACTTCGTTTGGGGGGGGTATAATAATTAACATTATCTGTAATGCCTACTGGTCTGAAAAAGGAATTTTACGACAATAATTAGGAAAAAACAATGAAATGGCTCTAACAACGTCACTGTTTTCCTATTTTGTAAGCAATGCATGACGTTGAAGAATGACACGACTTGCTTGCATGTTCAAGACATACATGGATATTATACTAAAAACTGTTGACAGAACATCAAAAGAAACATACTAGCAATCTAAACAATTCTATTTTTTACCAAAATAATTCATCTGCACCAATAATTCATCTGCACCAATATATATTTATACCACAATATGGCAATTTTAGAGGTACAGGGCATTGAAAAAATAAACTTTGTAATTTATTCCTAGACCAACCTAGATGGTCAACTTTTTTGAAATTTCACAATTTAGTGACTTTTTACAATAACTTTCATGTACTTGGCTGAAAAAAAATCTCTAGAGCAGAAATACAAAAAATATGGGAAAAACGTGATAATTTGGCGCTTTTCCAACAAATTCCCATAGGGTCCAAAAGTAAAATTTGACAACTTTTGAGATGGCCCCTTAAGAAATTGGGACGGTAAACATTTGATTTTTTTATTCTTAAAACAACAAATATACCAGTAATAGTAAAAATTAATTCAAGAAAATTTATCAAAATCTCTAGGGTAGAAATAATTAGACTCAGCCTCGTTAAGCCATTGCTTTTATACCAGTTTGACTTTGGATTACTCCATTTATCTGATCAATACAGAGGGCTCACGATAGGTGTGACCAGTCGACTGGGGATGCTTACTCCTCCTAGGCACCTGATTCCACCTCTGGTATTTCCAGGGGTCTATGTTTTTTGTCTTGTTCATGATTCATATTTTATACTGGATTATGAGATTGATCACTTTTCATTATCTTATCCTTTTACATCATCAACTTAAATTCTTTTCAAAGAGCAACATCAAATACTACTAAACCATCAAACTTTCTATTCATCATATTTCTAAAATACTGAAATCCTCAAACTTTCACAATGACAGTATTTCTTTGATTAAATTATTTATTTATTTATCCAAATTTATCTGCCAATGGCTTAACTTAGCTTTTCTGATCAAAATTTGGCGACTGTCTGTCGTTGTTATTGTCGTTAACTTTTCACATTTTCATCTTCTTCTCCATATTCACTAGACCAATTTTAACCAAAATTGTCACAAAGCATCCTTGGGTGAAGGGAATTAAAGTTTGTTCAAATAAAGGGCCATGCCCTCTTTCAAGGGGAGATAATT